TATATATATATATATATATATATATATATATATATATATTAGTTTATATAACTCTATACAAATACACAAACTAAAAAAGAGATATTTCAGGATAGTTTATTGGCATTTTTCTTATTAAGACGTCATGTATTTAAAAATAAAACGTGTCAATTAAAAGGGAAATGAAGCCCAAATTAATTAATATGAGATAACATAGGATTAAAAAATTTTCTATAAATTTTATCAATAATAATTAGAGTATAGATCAAAATAATAAGTTAAACAATAAAAAATAATAATTAGTAATAAATAGTGTTTCGAAATAAATACAGATACAATAATATTATCCTTTGTATTTCCAAAACAAAATGTCAAGATTGGACATTTGGAGATGGTTAACAAAAGAAAAGAATATTTGTCAATATACTTTACACTTTATCGGTGTATTTATATTTGTTTTCCAAGACTATAATCTAAGCGAAAACAGCTATTTTTCCTTTGAAGTAGGTTTAGAAGTTGATGGAGCATCCCGAAAGTTAGGAAACTGTTCCCATGGGGCAGCCAATTCAAATTTACGGAATTCTTGAGTTAATTCTAATGGTTCAATTACTATTCTTTTATATTCGTCGTCATAGCGCACCTAAAACGAATGAAAGCAGTATAATAAATATTGAAATATAAAATTTAATATTTCATAATTGTTCACAAATACTTGAATTTTTTTCAACATGATTTTGATTAAAAATCTTTAAAACTTTTATAATAAGATAAAAATGATTGCAAATAACTACATTAATAAGTTAGCGCAATGCTACATTAAAATCAATAACATACATAAATTCTTATCATATAGTTACCTCAACATATCCGCTGAGTGGAAAATCTTTCCTCAATGGATGCCCTTCAAAACCGTAGTCTGTAAGAATCCTACGGAGATCGGGATGATTCGAGAAGAACACACCGAACATATCCCATATCTCTCGCTCATACCAATCAGCAGCTTTGAATATGCTATAAATGGAGTCGACTGGCGTCAATTCATCGGTATAAGTTTTAACTCTGATGCGCGAATTGTATCGCAACGACAGCAGATTGTAGACTAGCTGTAATAATAAATATACTGTACAATGCTATTTAAAGAAATCTTACATAAAATTTATATTTATAGCGAATTTGATTACTCGCATTATATTATTTGGATTAGTGCACTGGAATTGCTATATATGAAGCTATTGAAATGTAAAATTACAAAATAAATGATTATATATTCATAACTTTTTCTTATTATGTAGCATGCATTAATGATTTTAGCATCAAAAAGTTTATATTGTCATTTTAAATATTGCATATGCAGCCTTTTTAATGCATTAATCTGACGTAAGATATGTAACCAAATTCGCTATTACATCTTATGTAAAATTTCATCTTTCATTATTTTTTTTCAATTTTTGCAATCTTTCACTATTTTCTTCATTACTCTTTTTCTTTTTAAAATACTTATTGCCATCAATAATATTAGCATCAGTAATATTAAATAAATTTAATAATTGTAATATTATAATTTCAGCTTTAGCTATGTTCCAAAACAAACAATCGACAAGTAATTTGCAAAATTAAAGATATATTAAGTTAACAAGAAAATATTACATAACATACCAATAAACTAGTTCTTATTGGTTTTTATCTCTTATTTATTAATTTCCAAATTTGAAAGACTTAATATTCTTTATATATATTTATATAAAAATTTCATGTCGATTTATATATTTGTATAAATTATATATATATTTTTATATGTAATGAAATAAAACATACCTCAAATCTGAACTGTCTACTAGGTACATCAAGAGCGGTAATATCCGACAGATTAACAAATTGCGTATTATGGTGATCTTTTAAAAATGTAAACGTAGGAATAAGGCCATCAGGAGCGATTAGTAATTCCAACTCATCGCAAGCAGCCAGCTGCACTTGTTGTATATATTTGGGTAGACACTCATTAATGTAACGACCGAACTGTATCAAATGATCGATGTCAACATGACTGGGTTTCCGTATTGTGGCTGTAAAAATATTTAAATAATATTATATTCTATCAAATATTTTACACATACAGAGTATTGTCAAATTATTTCTTTTGTTATCAGAAAATTAAATTAAAATAGCAATAGTTAAGATTAAATTACGATGTTATTTCTTTTTTTACAAAGTCAAAATATCGATAAAAGAATCATTATACGTACGACGAGTTTCGATTTTTTCGCTTTTGTCACTAGTAGTTGTGGTATTATACCTTACAGATGATAGAGATGCGACAGCATAACCTGTCAAATGCATACGTTATTACATAATTTAATTGAAATATCGTCATCTGTACAATTGATATTCTCTTACATTTCGGTGTAGCCACTGGTAAACGCGATAGTCTCCAACAGTTTCTCAATATTGATGTCATCTTCCCAGAAAATGTTTTAAATACTACTATACATACATTATCATTCAAGGGAACATGGTTCACTACTTCAGTGAGTGATATTTATATCAATGCGCATATATCCAATAGTAGATGTAAAGTCATTAGATTGAAGTAAGCAATGGCACAGTATACAGTAGCGCAACTCCTTTCAATATATGAAGCCAAAATCGCAGCGCGCATGCGCAAATTGAGACACTTTGTACAATGACGTCATCTGAACTTCTTTCTCGCTTACTCTTCCTTGTCTTTATGCTCTCTTTTTAATTCATTGTTACATTAGAGAAATTGGATTTACAAATAAATATAATTACAAATAAGTAAAATTGTCATGTAATACACATATATTTGTTGTATATAAAAAGAGCAGTCTTAAAAAAAATGTATATATTATGCTTTAAAGAATGAATATGTAGATAAAAAGATATCTAATAATAAATATAAATTTTTAACAAATTAAGCTATAATAGTTAA